ACATGTTTACAAAAAATTTTAACATGTTTCAATTCCGAGATATGAAATTCTCACAAAAAACGTCAATTTCTTTCCGATAGATAGAAATTCTTTTATTCGGCACCCATTTCTTCTTCGTCCTGTTGAATTGCATATCATCGAGTATACCATTGTATCAAACTCAAACTACATGTGTAATTTCTAATGAGAAGTTTTTTTCTTCATACGATCTCAGGAAGGAGAATCGAAGAGCATAAACCTTTGTTGTATGGGAAACAAGGAACTGTTGTATTCAACAAATATTGCACTGTCCACAATTTATGATAGACACATAGATATTCTGAGGCGATTTATATATCTGTGATTGTCTCGGTGCGACTCGCCATATCGCGAATCGTGCCGCGATAATATCTATCTCTACGCATTTTCTTACTCTTACCAGCAATCAAACATTGTTCAAGTCGACATCGTCTACACATTATACGTTTATTAACATATTTTATATCACAGTTGTTTGTTCCAGTAATACAAGTGATGTTATCCTTTAGAAAATAATGAAATTAACTTTAATTCTTAGAAGATTTTGAGAAATGCGATGCTTACCAAACGCTGGGATACATTTCGTTGAAAAAACGACTTACACGATTCACAACAGATAACATTAAAGTTATAATTCGATGCTCGAGCTTCACATATCACACATGTTAAATCAGTTTTCTGACGCTTTGCTGAGAATACTCGACATCGTAGCTGCTGTACTTCTTCTCTTGTATTCTAAAAGAAATCTATAATATAGTGAGATTGAGAAATTTCTCTATATTAGACTTGCTTTTTAACGGATACCGAATTTACTTTCAATATAGTTGAATCTTCTCCTTCTCGTTCATAAGTCTGAACCATTGATACAATATTTTGCACCAGATCTTCATCACTAGTAATTACAATTACATTTGTTTTTCGTTTATCATAGGTGGAAGCCTTCCATACTACTGCCTCGGAGGCAGTAGTTAACAATGTTGATACCACTTGTCGACTATGTTTTCGATTCATAATATGCTTATAATATGAAATACACTACTAGCACAAAGCAGATGGAAGACAGTAAGTATGAGTAATTGTAAATTCGATGATCTCTCAGCAGTAGAAATACGATCACAGCAAAAAAAAAAAGTTGAAAAGAATAATTCACATTTTTTTTTATCTTATTATCAAGAAAAGAAAAGAAAGCCAAAGAAAGGAGTACATTTAATTATATTTTTGTTCTCTTGACAATACGTATACGATCAGTGATGTTTCAATAATTTTTTAAAACTATTCAAAATATTATAATAATAACATTGTGAAGAAATCAGTCTTTTAGCTATAATTTTATTATTTGTACAGAAAGCCTGATCCAAAAATAAGCAATGAGAAAAAAAATAAAATATCTTTATCTATCAGATGCCTGTTTGATTAATTTGCAGAGTTCTTCTGACTCATTTTAACGTAAAGGTACCAGAGCAGCATTTTATTTTTTTCTCATTGATATATATTTACTTATATATACTACTTATATCGTTTACTAATATATAATACTTTCCGTCTTTATCACAAATAAAACAATGACTGTTTATAAAAAAAGAAATTAGTTTGTTCTTAACTTTTCTCTTTATTACCCGTTCTGATCGATGTGATCTCTTTTTCACGTCAATATCAGGAGTGGATTGACAATTTTTGTTCTTTAATGATGTTTTATAATGATCAACCAATTTTTTTATTGCATAATTAGGATACAGATGTTCAAGTGATAATTGCTGATCAGTTAATGGACTCGTACCATTTTTCTTAATCCATTCTACAATAAATTGTCTCTCATATGTATGACCGTCTTGTGCTAGGACTGGATCACGAAACAATTCCAGTGTTATTGGACATAATAATGAATCGTCTGGTAGATTCATATCTTAAAGAAAGATCATTTCTGAACTTCAATGTTATATCGAACCATCACAAGTAATGCAAACATTAATTTATAGTACAGTTACAATGCATAGATGACAGCGATCTAAGTTTTCTGGGGATCGATACTGATCTAGACCTTTCAGGCCGGATCGGACTGGTCGATCGCCAGCACCAGTTCCATGTATCATCAGTTCTTTATATGAAGATGAATGAGTAGGTGCAATGGAAAGAGCATAGAGAAATGCATATACTGACTGCAGAGTTGCTGTTTGTCGACTTCGAGAAAAACGAAAGGTGTTTATGGTGAGAATGCTTTCAGTTTCATTTGACGTCTAACTAGACTATTTCACATGGACATTCGAGTCGAAAACTCATTAAGAAAAGAAAACAGCTTAGTTTTCGGTAGCCAGTCTGAATCAGCGGCTCGAGTTCTATCAGACTAGATAAGCATTCGATGGTTATTGAAAAGAAAATTTTTGAAATACCGATATTTCTCTTCATATGGTACTAAAACAATCTTTTACCATTTGCAACAGTGTACGACGCGGACCATTCGAAGAAGATAGTTTGAAGATTCTATATCACTGTGTAAGCATTGTCACTCCTTCAGACAGATATGTTATCGTATAAAAGTGATCGAAAGTAAATAAAAGTAACTCTGAAATAATTAAAATCAACCCAATAGTTAGTGACTAGTTACTTGGTAACTGTAAACTCGGTAGCTATGTTTACAAGAATAATAACAATTTGATAGGTTCCCCTTACTTTTACAACTCGTAACGTTTTCGTTACCGTCACGTTACTGTGCAACTAAAAGTAACTGTGCCTTTAACGTTCCTACATATTTTTAAAATAATAATCGAGACCACTTATCGGTGTAGCCGGTAAGAATGATTATTAGCTATTCTCAACAGATTCTTATTATAGACATACGTTTATTCGTACACTTTTTAACATCTAAACGTTACTACCGTAACTTATCATCATCGACATAAAATTTACACTTCAGTGACAAATATTTTGAATAGGATCGAACGAAATATCTTGTTCATCTAGTGAAACATAGGAATTTAAGTAATTTTTTTGCTTGAAGGAGTTTAAAGTGAAGTACTCAGTCAATTAGCTTTTGTTTCTCACTGATGCAGATACAGCAGAAATTAGCTATTATAATTTCTTTAAAAGTCGTTGCCCATAAGTGACGTTCGAAGATGATTAATCGACTTTCATTGATCATACTTTGATGAGTAAAAAAGTACAAACATCTGATGTTTTGACATTAAAAACTGACGCTGAGACCATTATCATAGTTAATTACTGTTAGTAAAATATTCGAAATTCATATCCCTAAACCAGTGTTAGGCCGTTTACTTCTCAATAACCAGTATTATTTAAAACCAGTTCGCTTCCGATTAAACACGTCTACTACAAATGCTCTCCGATATGTGATCCACAAATTGTACGAGAAGGCAAACAGCAATCCCATGAAGGAATGCATCAGCGTGAGTTTTTGATCTGGCAGAAGCCTTTAATACTGTACCATACCCAAGGGGGAAAGCACGGAATCCTGAAATCCTGAAATTCTATGGAATCTAGTAGAATCCGGTGGAAGGTGGTCGACTCCGATGAAATCTGGTGGACTCCGGGATTCTACACTTCTCCCGAAACAGAACAAACAACAAGAACAACAGAACAAGTGTTCTGTTTTGAGGGAAACTTGCATAGAATCCAAGGGAATCTTATGGATTCCAAGAGAATCCTATGGAATCCTGGGGAATCCTTGAAATCCAGGAGAATTCAGGATTCTAGGATTCCGTGCTTTCCCCCTTGACCATACCAGACTCTTTTAACAAAATTCTTGTCCCTCTTTTTCTTAGTAATTACTAGAGACGCTCAATTTTAGCCTTCTGCCAGACACCATCACTTTTGTATTATTACGGATAGTAGCAAGAAAAATAGCTAGTTTGTGAGAAAACGAGAATTAAAAATGGATTTGTCTGCTAGTCGATCACATGCTACTATAGTGATCGAAACGACCCTCACCCTTACCCTCACCCTCAGTTATATAAGTATTCTCATTCGATTCGCCATCGTTTTTTACCTATGTAAAGCAAATTTTCACTTGATTTGAATAAAAAATAAGCATTTTATTGAAAAATGACCTTCCCCCTTTTCTATGACACGAGTAAAAAACGATTTTTTTCAGCAAAGGAAAGAAAAGAAAAAAAAAGAATGCGGAATTTTGTAGCTAATGGTATGTTGAGTTGAATGAGATGAAATACTTGACTTCATCACTTAGTAGAAAAACTTGATACGTTTACAAAACGACTTATGCGCATTGCACTCGGTGTGATTTGGAGCACCACTGTGAAAAAATGTTGGGGTGTTAAGCTGATTTAACAACTCCTCTAGGGTCAGTTTTTGATGCTGAATCTGAAAAGAATATTTTCAGAAACTCAGAAAAAGCACGAACGGAAATATTGTAAAATCTAGGAATAATTTCGATTATGTTTTCTTTTCTTTTCTTTCCAAATTTTAGTGATAGTTACTATCAACTATTATTAATATGGGTTCAAAAATGTTATGATGTATTGACAATATATAATTATACACTATTAATAAGTGAAGATGAAAAAATGTATCAGGCATTATTAGGACAATTTCTAATGAGAACTGAAGCAACAAGAAAAGTTTTTCTTTCTTTTGTAGTGTGTTGATCAATCCTGTGTTTTATTCTTTGTTGTAGTTGTCATTTTCACATTCTTAGCATACACTGAATCCACGTCTAAAGGTATAACTCCTCCCAAGTGAGAAATGATGGTGTGGTATAAAAGACTATAATTAATGCAGTTCGAGTATGCAGAAGAAGAGATAATACTGGTCTATATCTGTTGTGTGATAATTAGAAGGGTTTTTCTTTATTTTTATGTTTTTGTTTAGTAAAACAGAAATCAATGATATGGTAAGAAAGCGAACAAATTTGCTTTTCACAAAAACATTAAAACATGTCTACTAGCTAAATTAACAGCAGCTGAATCATAATTACATTTTCCACAAGTATATCTATACACTTATAATGGAATTTGATTAAATCTGCAGCAAAAATATACACCTTGCTTTAAATTGTATGTATTAGAAGAGTTATAGCCGATTTAATCGTTTCAAACGAGCTGCGATTTTGCCTTACTTTTGACGAGAAACTTTTAGGGATGAAATTGACTTTATGTAGAAAAATAGATGCTGTCACGTCGTTAGCTCTTCCGATAATTTAGAATTGGAAATTTTCTGCGTTTGTTTTCTTTATTTAGCTATTGTTTCAAATCGTCATAACAAGAAAAAACTATATTTCAAGCAACCAAGAACATGCAAAGTGTGAGTTTTATGTGCTCACGTTTATGTTGAAGTAGCTGCTGTTAACTAATCAATCCAACATTCTAAACTAGGATTGTTTTTTTCAAAATAATGAAGAACAGATTTATTTTTATATGTAATACTGCATTTTTTTACGATTAAGTTTTCAGTTTGGTCATTATCAATAATAATTTTTACAATGTCTGTTTTCATATTTAATAATTTAATAATTATTAAATATGAT